TTTCCAGGAAGTATCCTGCAGAGAACTATTCCCTACAATTTTTTTCCTTTCCAGGAAGTATCCTGCAGAGAACTATTCCCCACACAATTTTTCCTTTTCAGGAAGTATCCTGCAGAGAAATTGTCCCTACATTTTTTTTCCTACCATTTTTTTTTCCAAATAGGCGCCTTCAGAGAATTGTTCTTTAGCAGCATATTCCTGTTCAGGAAGGTTTCGTCAGAAAAGTAGTGCTCTGAGACAATATTGTTTCGTCGAAAATCAACATTCCTGCGAATCTATCAAACACACATAAAAATCAAATTTCACTTCTTATCACTTCTTTTCGCTTATTTTGGCTTATTTTTGACTAATATTCTACTATATTTGCTTATATTTTCCTTATTATGTTATAAGTTCACCTAAAAATTTAGTGGAACTTATAACAAAATATTTTTGAAAAAACAATTTGAACAAGATATTAGAAGGATAATAGTAACTTATAGCATACTTATAAATTCATTAAGTGCCTAAAGTGCAAATATTTGCATTTTGTGGTCTCAGTAGATGGAATGTTTTGACTTGGGTCGGACTTAGGTTGAAACTAGGTGGGACTTAGCCTAGTTGTGTCTTTTTTGTTTTTTTGATGTTGGTTTGCTGATGATGCTGTTGTTTTGTATTGTTGTATTGGGATTTGGCTCGGCATTCATTGTTATTACTCTCAAACTGAACGAAAAATGTATGTAAATAAAAACAAGTGGGCGGGTTCCATGGCTTTTACCAATACCAGTAGTACCGCGCAAGGCGGTGGTTATAGGAAACCTATAGGAGAGGTTGGTTGTCGTGAATCACGGATGGCAGGGCAAATCCACAGATGGACCGAAAGGTGGTTGGAGCTGTGTTTTTTGGAGTGGTTGCAATGGTTGCAGTGGTCACCTCACCACAACTGCTGGATGTAGTGTGGTGTGGTGCAGCTGTAGTTGTAGCTGTAGTGTAGTGTAGTGGAGTTGTAGTTATAATGTAGTGCAATTAGTGTAGTGTAGTATAGTGTACTCTAGTGTGGTAGAGTGTAGTGTAGTCTAATGTAGTGTAGTGTGAAGTAGTGTAGCTGTAGTTGTAGTTGTAGTGTAGTGTAGTATAATTAGTGTAGTGTAGCGTGGTGTAGTGTAATGTAGTGTAATGTAGTGGTACTTGTAGTTGCAGTTTGTAGCGTCATGCAATGTAATTAGTGTAGTGTAGCGTTGTGTAATGTAATGTAGTTGTAGTTGTATTTGTATTTGTAGCTGTGGCGTACTGCAGTGTAATTAGTGTAGTGTAGTGTAATGTAGTGTAATGTAGCGTAGTATATATGGTAATGGTAGTTGTAGTTGCCGTTGTCTATCTATCTATCTATCTATCTTTCTTTCTATCTATCTATCTATCTATCTCTCTATCTATCTTTCTATCTATCTATCTATCTATCTATCTCTCTCTCTCTATCTACCTATCTATCTATCTATCTATCTATCTATCTATCTACCGATCTACCTATCTACCGATCTACCGATCTACCGATCTACCGATCTACCTATCTACCTATCTACCTATCTACCTATCTACCTATCTACCTATCTACCTATCTACCTATCTATCTATCTATCTAGCTAGCTAGCTAGCTATCTATCTACCTATCTATCTATGTATTTCTATCTGTCTATCTATCTGTCTATCTGCAAGCTTGAAAACAAAGCTATTCTGCGAGACTTCCTCAGTTTTTGACCGTGGCAATGTCAAATGCAAAGCAATTCTGCGAGACTTCCTCAATTATTGAACTTGACAACGTCAAAAACGAATCAATTCTGTGGGACTTCCTCAATTTTTGAACTTGACAACGTCAAAAACGAAACAATTCTGCGAGACTTCCTCAATTTAAGTTGACAACATCAAAAACGAAGCAATTCTGCGAAACTTCCTTCAAAAATGGAAAGTTGAGTGGAAGAGCTGATGGCCTCGTACCAATCCGTTTTCTGATGTTTCCACTCCACCTGTCTGAAGTACTGCGCCTGCTACGAAAAAGTGATGCCAGATCATACCAAGTGCTGCACCTGTCACGCAAAATCACCTTAGCAAACCTACGGGTCTGATGCTCCAAAATGCAAACCCGCTCAAGAATTCAGCGCCCTAACCTCCTAACATCTCTGATGAACATGTCTCTTGTACAGCGCCTGCCACGCGAAATGCATCTTCCTCCGGAGCCACAAATCATTTGAAAAACACAGTGAATTGCGACTTTTCCACCTTTTTGCGCACCTGCATCTTCTGTCTTCTGACTCTTTCTCTTTTCTGATCTTCTTTCTTCTGCCCTTCTCTTCTCTGACTCTTCCCACCTCTGCTTTTTTTCATCTGTCTATATTGTCGGAAGTTTGACTTCTACACTTCCTTCGACAAATTACATTTATAGAAGGACTCAAATTTTGAAATTCCATGCCGAAAGGGATGTTGGCCAAATGTCGGCCAATGTAGGCCGCAATGAGAAATTATGGATTGATTTTGGGTGTCTGCCAACATGTCGGCCTTGATAACGCAATTAAAAGGTCATTGACAATGAAATGTCGGCCAACGTATATAGGCCAAATGCTACACTTCCCGCACCTTTTTGTCGCTCAGGTCGCAAAAGAATCGAAATTCAACTCTTCCCGGCGAGGAAAAAAGTTAACAAGCTGCAACATTCCATGACCAAAAAGTATAAAAATAAATGCAAGTGCTTCTTCGATTGAACCAAAACGCATGCTGGGTAAAAAACGAACAGCCGCTACTAATGTCAATTTGGGCAAAAGGTAACGACTTGACTTGGATCCGGACTTAGTAAGTTCAATCTAAATCCAAAAAGTATGCATACATGTCAGTCACGCAAGTTAAAAACAAATAACATACGACTATTTTTTAATTAAAAAAACACTTAATAAGGTACCACCTTGCACGACAAGACGATTGTGATATGCGAAATTTGGTGAACACTGTCATGCATGATAATGCTAAGAGCGGCGGCAGCAAGTTGAGGCAAGTGCCTTTTCACGCTTTGCGTGATGCGCGCGGCCCTTGCTGACGTCCCATGCAGCGCGGGCGATTTGCAGCGTCGACTCCTGCCATGTCAGAAAGAGGATGCGGTGTTGGAATGAGATTGCAGGTGGAAAGGGATCAGAGCTTGCATGAATGTAAACACCTTATACGAAGCGACAAAACTCCTTTTTGCAAGCGGAGAGGAATTTGCTCAAGAGCCTTTCCGCTTGCTGCTTGTCCTGTCGCAAAATAAAACGGGATATATGTTCATGAGAAGGCTGATCGCGACAACGAAATGAGTTCTTGTCTAGAGATACGACATTGGAAAGATTGCGTGGTTGAAGTGCTGATATCGACATAGTTTTCACTGACCTTATAACAGCGCGCATCATCACTTGCGCACAAGAGAGTGCGCATCTTGGTCGCGGCGTGCAACTGCGGCACCCAAAGGGCGGATCAAATCCTTCGGAGCTATCCTGCGTTTGTATCGACAAGAAAGGAGAGCATGGATGCAAGCGGTGGACTTTGCGTCAATGTACAACATGAAATGTTCTTTGCGACCTCACATTGGAAAGAAATGGGAAACAGTTGGGATACCAATAAGTTTGGGCTACCCCAATTTGGTGAAAACCAACAAATCAGAATTTATGGGGATCAAACTGTGTTTCCCTGTGCCGGTGGACGGCCATCTCAAGCCGTCAATTTTTACAAAACGCAAACGCGCCGTACTTCGAAGCCTGCGCATGCCCTGAAAAGTACTACTTATAGGGGTTATGTCCCAAGTTATGCGACTCCTAAGATGCTAGTATCTGAGGATTTCAACCATTTGAAATGTCCCACCCATGTTTAATTGTATCAAATTTGTAGTTGTTAAAACAAATAAATAGGTTCAAGTCATGTCTGGATGTGTCGACAATTTTGGATAATTTTGGTAGATTTCAACCCATCTATCTACGTGTATAATTACCCATATTTTTGTTCATTCAAGACCCAACTTATGGTTACTCATTGTTCCCCAACCAAGGTTTGGCCTTTCTTTTCAATGGGAAAATACAGAGGTTTCATAAAGATATCTTGTACAGAGACATTGCATAGGGATCTGTTGAGATCTTGCCAAGAGGCCCCTTACAGAGATCTTGCCAAGAGACCTCTTATAGAGATCTTGTACAGAGATCTTGCCAGGACACCTCTTATGGAGACCTTGTACAGAGACATTGCATGGAGATCTGTTGCGGAGATTTTGCCAAGAGGTCTCTTACATAAATCTTGCCAAGCGAGCTTTTATAGAGAGCTTGTACCGAGATCTCATACAGAGATCCTGCCAAGAGATCTCTTATAGTATAGAGATCTTGTCCAGCGGTCTTGCCAAGAGACTTCTTATAGAAATCTATACAGAGAATTTGCCAAGAGGTCTCTTACAGAGATCTTGCCAAGAGGGCTCTCATAGAGATCTTGTACAGAGATCTTGCCAGGAGAGCTCTTATAGAGATCTTGCACAGAGACCTGGTCCAGAGAGCAAAGGACTTGCCCGGGGATCATTTATAGATTGCTTGAACAGAGATCTTACTTTGAGATCCCTTACAAAGATCTTCTGTGGAGATCTCCGATAGACACCTTGTACAGACAGCCTTACACAGGGATCTTGCACAGCAGCTTCTACAGAGAACCTCTCAAGGAGATCTTGTGCACGACCTTCTACAGAGATCTTCGAAAATTGCAGAATCTTACCTGGTACGTCTTCTTCCAGAGACCACCTTGAATGAACACCATGCTTTCACTACTAGGGTCGCTCTTGTCCTGCTAGCTTTCAGCCGCTGATGACTTTGGGTCCTTTCCACCTTTCCTTTAGATTCCTAACTACACTCTGTTTGGGGTCTCTTGCCGGGATACTTAGCGCATGAATACCCAGAAAAAATCAAAATTCGTTGCTCCTTTTGCAGACACCCTGCCCTGCCGTGTCCAGCCGCTCAGCGTTGCCGAGATTCTGCGCCAACGATTCGAATGTGAACCTAAGAGCGCAGGAATCCTCTACTGTCAAAAAATATCCAGGTAGCAAATGCATGATAGAAAGGTAGGGGGCACTAACAGGCTAGGAATCCCTAGGAATCCGGGCCTGAACAGAGCTTTGGAATGATTTGGATGTGTTTTGATGCAAATGCGCGCTTAATGGGTTGGCGATTCCAACCTTGGACAATGACTGAAGCTTCTGTTTTTCAAATGGATGCGCAATATATTCTTGCTCAAACATGCTAAAACATGCTATACACAACAGTCCACTGTCCAACCATTCAGCTCCCCATTTATCCCGATACAGCCGCAATTCCGTCTTTATTTTCAAATAGTTCCAGCCGCTTCCAGATCTGAATCTTTGCTTTCCGTCCACCTTTCCCCATTCATGATTGCAACCGACACGTTTTTATAGTCTAGTACTCTCTGATGACCATCTTTGAGTCATGTGTATCAATGTTGATTGATAGGGATTCCCACAAAAGGTCGGACCATGACCTTCCAAAAAAAATAGCCTAAGAACCTACATTATTGCGACTGGCCGGCCATACTAGGAAGTGCAGTTCCAGCTAGAAGTGGATATATAACCATAATAAAATAACAATCATATATGACTATCTGATTGATATAATATCAATAGATTTTTTGGATGGGATTTCAATTAACCATATTAATAATCAACATAACATAACTATTAACAATAACCATCTGCTGATTCCCAATTTACTGTATCGGTGTTTCAAAACAGGTTTGTAGCGATTTGTAACCTCAACTGCACCCCCAAGTAATCAAGCAGCGTCAACTGGTAATCTCACCACCTTTATTTTGGCCAAAATGACATGTATCTACACCACTTCGATGGGCCATGGAGTGAGTTCAGGGGTCGTCTAAGTATACCAACTAGCATCATGTATCTAATCATTGATTCTATATGATTTTCCGGCTTATGGAAAATAACTCTACAATTGAAAGTATCCAACTTCTCCAAGACCCTTTTTTTTTGTGTAGGTTTACCCTCTAGTAATCAAACGTGGTTTGCTGGAAAATCTTCCATTTTGTACGATGATTTTCCCGGCTGGAAACTCTCCATCTCTAGAATAAAATATATATCATGATTTTCTCATGATTTTCCCAATAAAACCTTCATTTATGAAGAATTTTCCCATGACTTTCTGATGATCCAATGATTTTCCAACTGAAACCTCCGTTTTTTTTAGGGATTTCATCGGATTCCATGTCCCTTTTCATCCCAGGCGCTGCGGCATCACCGTCAACGGCCCGTTGAGCGCCGGCGCCAGCGGCGCGGCTGGCGGCGCCGCCGGCGTCAGCGGCGTGGCGAAGCCGCTGGGGATGAAGAGCCCCGGGGGCGGTGTGAGGCCCACCGAGGTGGAGCCCAAGGAACCTGCAAAGGGGGGCCCCCGGTCGATAGCAAGATATCCATGGGAAAACCATAAGAAAATAGTGATTTAACCAACATAAATGGAGGGTTTTGGGATTTATAGCGGATAAATGATAGCTAAGTTGGTGAACATAACTCCAATTTCACTATGGTTTATGGTACCTACAACTATAGTTAATGGGGTTTATCAACCAACAAACATAACTGGGGGGCCCCACATTGTGCAAAGGGGGGTGATTTGATGGAGCTCGAATTCTCTATCAACAAAACATCGGGATCCTTTATGGTAATTAGAGAGAGGTAAGGAGAGTCACCATTTTGAAAGGTAAATCATCGAACTATTTATTCTGGTTGGTGGTTTTAAGCCCTCTGAAAAATATGACTTCGCCAGTTGGGATCATTATTCCCAATATATGTTTGAAAAAAAACATATATTTACTAGTTGGTGGTTTTAACCATCTTGAAAAATATGAGTCGATGGGAAGGATGATCCCATATATGGAAAATAAAGTTCGTGTTTGAAACCACCAACCAGTGTGAAAGTGAGCCAGATTTGACGGGATTTTGATGGTGGATGGGGATTTCTGGTGTTTTTAATGTGATTTTATGGGGGTTGATCCCAGATGGGAAGTGGTTTATAAGCCACATATAATTGAGGATATCCCATATAATTGGGGTAGGATGCAGTATGGTTATATATCCACTTATACATGGAACTGCAGTCCCAAGCAGGGAAACAATGTGAAAGTGGGCTACTAATTCATGGGATAAGATACGTGTTTTATTAGTCTTGTTTGGTGGTAAAAATGGGCATATAAGTTCCAATAGCAGACAAAGCAATTGGTTAAACCCACTGCGAGTTGATATCAACGAATGAAGGACCCCGTATATTGGTGGTGACATCCTGCATAATCATCTGTGGTCTTGCCGTTTGATTTTGCTCCCATCAAAATGACGAAAAAACAATACTGCCCTACTAGGACCAAGGTTAACCCAGGTATATTGAGTGAATCTCTATACTGTGTTGGTTAATATCTTGAAACCAGCAAGTGAAACTGTGAAACTCCCCTTCAAACCAATGTGCACATATTACCTTATCAAACCATGGTTAACCCGGATATCATGGGGGTAAAGCCATGGACACATGGAATGCAATTGAAACCATTGAAACGAAAGAAGTACATCGCCACTGATTGGTGGTAATTAAAAAGCCACATCCGCTGGCAAAGTCCCCATTCATCGACTGATCATCAAAACTACTTCATATATAAATTACAAGGTGGTGCCCCATAGTTAGCTAAGTTGGTTTATAAGTCCAATAACTAGGGTTTATGGGGGTCATATCTATAGTTACTGGGGATTATAAACCAACTTATAACTGGGGGGGCACCACCTTGTATATTGCCTGCATGAGCTCCTTGATGGCAAGGCCCCGAGAGGCCCCAGAGGTTCTCCGCATCCCTCAGGATTCTCGGAGATCTGCGCTTCTGTCCTGCCTCGAGCTCTTTGCCACCGAATTTCCAAGTCTGGGTCGACATAGACTGAAATGTATAGAAATACAAGACAGTAACTTCGCCGAGTTTCGGGCAAAATCGTTCCAGCCTTTCCAAAAAGTGCTTCCGTGGAGTAAGCTCCATCCACAAGGTCTTCCATTTAGCACAACGCTTTTGCACGGTCTGAAACTTGTCCACTAGGCTGCTCATTTCAGTGTTGTAAAACCCCATTTAAAGTGAACAATGCTCAACAATCCCAATCATTTACTGCATCAATTCTTTCAATCATATCCTTAAGTAGCTGATCAATCAGGATTTCACAGTTGGTCACTGTTCAGTTGAAATTTGTTGTTCCCAGCAAATTGTTGCTGGTATACCCCATTTATGAATAAATCATTTTAATTCGTCCGCCTGAAAAAATGAGGATGATCCACCCTACTCACTATCATGCAAATGGCATCGCAGAACGGCCAATACTATTGTTTTCAATATATATATATATATATTGATGGTTGTAAAATTGTGTCCTCTTGCATCCCCATCTTTATACCAATTTTTATGTTGATACCATTTTGTTGCCAGTTAGTTCCCTGTATTTCCCATTTTTGGTCCAAAGAAATGGCCCATTTCCCTTCGCCTCCGGGCGATCGAACCCGTGAAACCGCCGCAGGGGTGGTGGAGCGAGAAGTGGAAGGCTGGCGGACCAACTGCACCGGGGTGAACTGCGAGTGGTAGCCTGAAAATTGCCGACAGACAGACAATTTGCCGTTTTATACGCGCGTCCAAGTATGTACATATATATGAATATATATGTGACATGTAACTGCATAATTCTTTAGAATCAACCATGTATATATATATATTCATGTAAATGTAAATGTAAATGAAAATGTATGTGCAGATGTACATATAAGTGTACATGTATGTATCTATGCATGCATGAACGGATGTTTGTGTGTACGTACACGCCTACGAAAAATGTATCTATGTACATACATTGTATGTATGTATGTATGGATGCATGCATGTATGTATGCATGTATGTATGTATTTATGTATGTATGTATGTGTGTACGCATGCATGTATGCATGTATGTATGTATGTATGTATGTATGTATGTATGTATGTATGTATGTATGTATGTATGTGTTTGTATGTGTTTGTATGTGTTTGTATGTGTTTGTATGTGTTTGTATGTGTTTGTATGTTTTGGTATGTGTTTGTATGTGTGTGTATGTATGTATGTATGTATGTATGTATGTATGTATGTATGTATGTATGTATGTATGTATGCATGTATATATGTATGTATGCATGTATGTATGTATGTACGTATGTAAAGGCTTTACGCAGTGATCTTTAGTCGCAAGTTGCGGCAAACAAGGTTAGACACTCAACAAGCATATAAAGCATGCAAAATAAACACGGAGGGCAAACTTACATGCCACTGGCATGGCCCCGTATGCAAACCAGTGAGGAGAAGTAGGGAACATTTTATGATTTTATGCAATCTTCAGAATCCGTCAGAAATAGAGCACAACAAACCCATGCTGAATACCACGAACTATATCAACAACTATAACATTGAATCATGGCGCATATCCCCCACACAACCGCCAGCAAAACCTATATTTCTGTCAAAGGCAAGGGGCGCACTAAATTAAAATGTTTTTTTCAAATGAAAGCAGGAACGCTTCAAGGTTATTGTCCCTCCTTGTGTTTACCCAGGCTTCAGTGGGAAGGCCCCGCTACAATTGTTGCGGCTCCTCTTGGGGCTGAGCTTGGGCGCAAGATGACGCAAGCATGGCGCCAATCGCTCACGGGGGTAGTGGTGGGTCAAGAGTCAACAGCGCGCAAATTGTAAGTTTTGAGCCGCAGCACCTTTAACTGTATCCGTCTGAAAAGTGGTAAGGGCCTACCCTTGCCATGGAAATTCATGCTCCAGCCGTGGGGTCTTTGGGTCACATGTCTCACTTGGACAACAATGCTATCGGATGGATGCTGGGCGTTCACCGCGGTGAGAATTAAGCTCTTATGCTGAGCGTGTTGGTTCACAATACATACATGTGTGATCTTTATTCTGCACAACAAAGCCAACAGTGCAAAATCGATCCATGCATACTTTGGATCTGCATCAGAGCTAGTAAGTTAAGTGTTTTTTCTTTTAAGTTTTATATGGCCCCTAAGTAACCCATATATATATATATAACTATAACTGGTATATAATTTAATAGGTTTATTAGCCATTTACTAGGATGCACACCTAAGTACTAATGGACACTTTGTCTACCTCCATCTTGATGATATAGACCCATGGCTGATGTCAGAGACTGACCGCAACAAGTTCTTAGTTCTGGCTGGGTACGAAGCTATCCAAAGGATTTCTAATTGGTGGTTTTAACCATCTTGAAACATATTAGTCAATGGGAAGGGTGACATCCCATATATGAAAAGGAAAATAAAAAATGTTTGAAACCGCCAACAAGGATTTGTGTTCATTTATCAAAGAGAAAACCCATATGATCCCATGGTCCCGTACCTATTAATCTGCTTCTCAAGATGATGCGAGCAAAAACTCAAAATATGTTTCCTACAAGATGGTACCCCCCTTTCAAAGTCTATACATCCCATTAACTACGACCACACATTCCTTTTATGTTAAGAAACAAATTGGCCAACAATGGCGCACCGCTGCGTATCATAATTTTGCAACCACCACTTGTCAAGGAAGTTCAGATCCGCCTACAAGATCAGCACCTTCTGGTATTTGAACATGACTATTGAAAATGGCCATGTTCAAAATAGTTGATTTACCCATTAAAAATTGTGATTTTCCATTAGAAATTGTTGATTTACCCATTGAAAATTGTGATTTTCCGTCAGAAATGGCTGATTTACCAATTAAAAATTGTGATTATCCATTTGAAATTGTTCTGGTTGGTGGTTGACCTACCCATCTGAAAAATATTAGTCAGTTGGGATGATTTTTCCCAATATATGAGAACATAAAAAATGTTCCAAACCAACAACCAGTGTTGATTTACCCATTAAAACTTGTGATTTTCCATTAGAAATTGCTGATTTACCCCTCAAAAATTGTGATGTTCCATTAGAAATGGTTGATTGTGCATTAAAAATTGTGATTTTCTTTTAGAAACTGTTGATTTACCAATTGAAAAATGTCATATTCCATTAGACATGGTTGATTGTTTACACATTAGAAATTGTTGATTTACCCATTAAAAATGGTGTTGTTCCATTAGAAATGGTTGATTTTGCATTAAAAAATGATTTTCCATTAGAAATTGTTGATTTACAAATTAAAAAATGTTATTTTCTATTAGAAATTGTTGATTTACCCATTAAAAATGGTGTTGTTCCATTAGAAATGGTTGATTTTGCATTAAAAAATGATTTTCCATTAGAAATTGTTGATTTACAAATTAAAAAATGTTATTTTCTATTAGAAATTGTTGATTTACCCATTAAAAATGGTGTTGTTCCATTAGAAATGGTTGATTTTGCATTAAAAAAATGATTTTCCATTAGAAATTGTTGATTTACAAATTAAAAAATGTTATTTTCTATTAGAAATGGTTGATTTACCCATTAAAAATGATGATTTTCCTTAAACATGATGAGTCTCCAGTAGAAATTGTTCTGGTTGGTGGTTGACCTACCCATCTGAAAAATATTAGTCAGTTGGGATGATTATTCCCAATATATGGGAAAAAAATGTTCCAAGCCAACAACCAGTGTTGATTTACACATTAGAAATTGAGATTTTCCATTAGAAATTGTTGATCTACCCATCACAAATTGTGATTTTCCATTAGAAATTGTTGATTTTGCATTAAAATATGATTTTCCATCAAAAACTGTTGATTTACCAATTTAAAAATGTTATTTTCCATTAGACATGGTTGATTGTTTACACATTAGAAATTGTGATGTTGCTTAAGAATGGAAATTTTCCATTAGAAATTTGTTGATTTGCCCATTAAAAATGGTGTTGTTCCATTAGAAATGGTTGATTTACCAATTAAAAAATGTTATTTTCCATTAGAAATGGTTGATTTTCCCATTAAAAATGATGATTTTCCTTAAACATGATGAGTTTCCATTTGAAATTGTTGATTTACCCATTAAAAAATGTGATTTTCCCTTTAAACAAAATGATTTTCCATAAGCATTGACCACAGGCTATCCCTTATAAAATCAGGAGTCTGTGCCAATTTTCCCCTGGTGATTTAACCAACATAAAATCGTGGTAAACCAATGGGATTTTGGTAGCTGATTTATGATCGCGTTCAGTTGGGGGTCACATAACTCCAATTTCACTAGTATTTATGGTAGTTATAACATGTTATAACATGTTATAGCTATAGTTAGATGGGGTTTATAAACCAACAATAATGGTGAACATAACTGGTTATTTACCATCTGATTATTTAACACAGCCATGGAAAGATCCGCCATTTTTAATAGGTAAACCATCTATTTCTATGGGCCATTTTCCATAACTCCAATTTCACTATGGTTTATGGTAGATATATCGAACTAGTATTGATGGGGTTTATAAACCAACAAACGTAACTGGGGCACCACCTTGTCAAACATGCGTCAAACAAATTCACCTGGAACATGCTCGGTGAAATCAATTTTAAATCAATTCATATGAGAAATATGAGAATCACCAAGCATCTCAGGAAAATGCTTCTAAAATTCACCTGCGTACAAGATACGAATTCTGCGAGTTCTGGGCACATATTTCTAGGTGAAAAACCAACTGGTTCATGTAGCAGTCCGAGATTAAAAGGCTCATTTGTTGGTGACTTTTGGGTGACTTCCCCATGTGAGCCATGGTCTATACCCACTATATGGTTGATGGTCATCCCATCCATAAAAAGGATCCTTATAGTGGTTACTATAAATCCCTATGAACCATTGGATGACTAGCCCCTATTAATGGTTATTAACCATGAGTATTGACCATAGCTCATGTGGCTGCTTTTTTCTCTGTACAAGCTAGTGCCCCCCCAGTTATAAGTTGGATGAAAAAAACCATAGGAATAGTACAAATATATCTACTATAAACCATAGTTATTGGAGTTATGTTTACCAACTTAGCTAACTATGGGGCACCACCTTGTATATATATATATATCCACCTCTGTTTGTTTTTTATCAAATCAAAATTGGGTTGTTGGTCATGTTTGCTTTATGTACATAAGGTATAACATACGTGCAATTGATATCCATACAGTACTGCATATCATCATAAACGCGTTTGTCTGGCACCACGTTAATAACCATTCAACTCCGGCTTCTGGCGATATATAGCTGCGCAACTCCCATTGTTCGTTGGCCAATGTTGGGTGTACATACAGTAGACCTCCATGTGTATCCACGAATCTGCATTGAATGCTGGCTATAATTCCCATCGAATATATCCTGCAATATCCCATGTTTAAACCCATGTAAGTGTTCTACAATGTGGTGCCCCTCAGTTATAAGTTGGTTTATAAACCCTAGTAAGTATGTCAATATACCTACCATAAACCATAGTTATTGGAGTTATGTTCACCAACTGAACGCGATTCCGAACTGAGGCACCACCTTGTACCTTACCTCCGTTTAAACATCGTCCCTTGGGACGCTGGTTGCGAATGGGTTCTACGTTGACCTCTCAGATCTCCAGGGTTCCACTTGCGCCTTGCGCCCCGGTAAAATCATCTTGCGCAAAAGAGGGTGACCTGGAGGTTTCCTAAAATAGGATAATAGTAATCATAATAATAATAGATCATACTAATAATAATGGTAATATACTAATAATAATGATAAGGATAAAAATAGGGCTATCGCGGCTATCCGCAGTTCTCATCCATTTTATGTTCGGATGTTCTCTTCTTTTCCATCCAGCGATATATTGGGGTACCCCCATGACTAGTTGGAACCCCCCAGCTGGTCATGTCGAGTTGCTGGCAGAGGGGCTCCGGTGTCTGGCAGCGTCCAAGAGACCTAACTTCAGACATCAGCGGTGTCTTGCGGCAAGGCAGGTCTAGCAAGTGGCTACCCTCTGGTTATGTCAAAATAGCTATTGAAAATGGCAATTTATAGTGGATTTACCCATTACATAGTCACGTTAGTTTACCAGAGGGTAACACCCCAGATGCAGATACAAAATGCTATCTGCATACTGTAGAAAACCATGGCCATGACTCAGGAAGCGACAAAATTGGAGGTACCGATTCCATATATAAGGCCTTAATTTCAGGGAATATCCCAACAGAATATGGTCAAACATATGGTACTAACGTACCTCCATCAAATGGATCCTGAGTCATTTCTATTGAGTAGAGGATATCCCAAAAACATCGTCGGGGTTTTTCTGGGTGATTCTTGAAACGCTTGGGCCACAAAGCATCCAGTTTTTTGGGATATGTTAAAAAAAAATCTTTCTGTGTGGGGAAACCAAGGGTGTTTAGGTACCCCAATATGATTTTAAGATACCACAATATATATATATATGTGTGTAATATATATATATATGTATATACATTATATATATATATATGATTATGTGTGTTATTTCAGGCCTATGTAAGGGACTATCCAGCGCAATATGGCCTGGAATATGGTACAGTACCTCCATTTTAGGATCCTGGAATTCCCATTGACCAAAAATGAAAAATTCCCTAAATTGTCTTAAGGTACAAACCACATGTCTGAAACCTAAAAATGATCTCTTTGGCTTTTAATATGACTTTACTATTCTAGTATGGTTTTATTGCTTTAGATAGAACACAACTGTATTTTTTTCCGGGATCATCCACGTTTATAAAATCACTACTAAATCTTAATGTAAATCTCTTCAAGCCATCATTTTTGTAGCTTGCCGAAATGGGATTCTTGTACATTGCTGGTTTTCGATAATAGGGATCAAACTAAATGATGATTTAAACAATAAAATGTCAAAATCGTTCAGTAATCGTATAGTAAATATATATATATATATATATATATCCAGCATCTTTGATTAGCTTCTTAGTTATATACATAGATTATCATATAGTACAGCTAGGAATTCCATCTAGAAACTTCAGGGATTAGTTCAGAGTCTGGAAATTGACTTATAAATTTATAAAAAGATCTTTGTTTAAGGAAACTAATCTCCCAACCCCTGGCAGGGCTTATGTTAATCATAATGATAGGATATACTGGGGATATGTTTGACAAATATCATGGGAACTCGACCAATGATTCTTCTGTGAACTCTCGGATTTGGAACCTAAAATTGGGCTACTCCCAGTTCTCATCCAGTTTTTGGTTGCCTCCATTAGTGAATATCCAATGCGATTGGATTTTATTTTCGGATTTTTCCTTATTTTCCATCCAGCTATTGGGTACCCCCATTTATGGAAACAATGGAAACCCCGATATCTTTGACATATTTTGACATTATACACCATGGTCTTCACTCATGAGATAGGCATAGACTGAACCCAGTAGCTTCAGGTTAGTTACCCTCTGGTAAACGTTTACATAGCTATGGAAAATCACCATCTTTAATAGGTAAATCAACGAACTACATGGGCCATGTTCAATAGCTATCCCTGTTAGTCATTACCAGGCCGGGTAACTATTAACCATTATATAACCATTAAGATTAACCATAGATTAACCATAGATTAACCATAGAAATAGATGGTTTACCCAGATTAACCATGGTTTACCCAGCCATAAACTTCCCAGGCCGGGTACCTGAAACAGGACTTGTGGCCCATCGAATCTATGGGATTTCGGCAGCTTGGGATGTGAAAAACGACGCCCAGCAACTTCTGGCCACGGCCTTCACGGAAGCCTCCACCAACCTCCGCCGGGTCGGTGGGGGCTAGGCATTTTCCAATGGGAAGCGCTTGGGGAAAATAGTGATCTAATGGTGATTTAATCAGCAGAAATGCTGATGAAATCAGGATTTAGAACTGATTTATGTGAGCTAAGTTAGTCTATACTTAACATCACTAGGGCTTAGGGTTGATGGTGATGAAATAACTGTAGCTGCATGAGTTCTTGACCCACCTCGCACCAATGGCATCAAATGGCCAGATGACATGGGTGTTCCACTTTAAAATTTTGTGGGTGTAATGGTATCATGACCATATATGATCATGCAATACCACTCGCATATCTCCCCAACATATGACTATAGTGACACATGTTCATCCTTATATTTTCACGATGCTTCTCTTTGTCGTGAAAACCTGGGGCTGTTTCCATCGGATCCTCAAACTGGGGGCGGATCATGAATGCCACGAGGTGGTTGCCCAGTTCGTTAGCGAAGTTGGTTCAGTTCACTAACCGTTATATAGGATTTACCCAATTATACACAGGGCGATCTATAGTTGATTTATGATAGCTAAGTTGGTTTATAAGTGACATTACTAGGATTTGTGGTAGATAAATGGAACTAGTCATTGGGGTTGTAAACCAACACACAATTCGCACTGAGGGATCATAATTCAATGTATGGATAGAAAGTAGACTCAATGTTTGAAACCAGCAACTAGTCTTGCTCCTTGATCCTCTGCCACAAAAAATGAACTTTTTGCCCAACACAATACGCACATTTTCTGAAAGGCAGATTATTTACATCATATTTCCTCAATTCATTGTGTCGTCTTAATCATTTTAACTGGTTAAATCATAAATCCATATTTGTGTTAGAGTACTTCAAATTGGGAAACCTCTTTTCAACAAGGCTTTCTGTATCAAAACGACCAAAATCGCTTCTATGATAACTTCGGGTCCCTCGTCACAGTGGAAACCCCCGCTCTTTCGGAAACCGCCAATATCCATAATAATATAGTAATACGAATAAGGCAGGGGATACCTAGATGCCCAAGAATAGACCCCAATTGGGGTGCCTATTGGATATGGGGTCTACCGCGTAAGTTAAACCCATCGAACCCCCAAATAGCCAACAAAAATCCATGTATCGCAACACCATCAATCCTGATTTTTATTGGTTGAATCCATACTTTCATTAGCCACACACATGTGACTAATCAAAACTTACCCTCTGGTTATGTCAAAATATGTCAAAATAGCTATTGAAAATTGTGATTTATAGTGGATTGTCCCATTACAAATGGTGATTTTCCATAGTTATGTTGGTTTACCAGAGGGTAAAAGCACAGTGTATTGCTACAATCCATCTAGAATCCCATCTTTTGGCCTGTAATAACCCCATATTGGGTATTTTGTGGATGGTGAATCCCCAGAATTTTGCTGGTTGGTGGTTTCAACCCCTCTGAAAAAAATGAAAGTCAGTTGGGATTAATATATGGGAAAATAACATCCATGTTCCAAACCACCAACCAGGCTGGTATTTGAACCACCATTTTTCTTGGTTTTTCTGCTGCCCTGCTAACTTCTACCAGGTCGCTGTGTCTCCCCCCGTGGTGTCGCTTGCACCACCGGCGCCACCGGCTGCGGCACCGGCTGAGGCGCCGGGGGCACGACGGAGGGTGGGCGGCGCAGGGGCGGATGGAAGCTGTTGTGGCGTTGGAAATCATCCAGGAGGTCGTCCAAATGACCCAAGCCTCAAACGGAAACCGGGTTCTTTGGTGTTTTTTTTTTGGAATGATCATCTTCTAAGATAATATGGGTATAGATGGATAAGAATAGAATGACCATCCAAAACCCCCCAGTTTCCATCAGTTTTTTCTATGAATGGGAACCTACAATAGGTCCGAATGGATTGACCCCCAAGGGCCCAAGGCCTTAGATTCAACCAATTCAACCCATGGGTATGGCATGGTACTATCAATACTGTAAAATTGAAGGGGGAATGATGGGTAGCGGGGAAAACACGAGATCATGATAGTGGCACCATCTACTGGTGGTCGCACTACTAGATTTGGTGGTTTGGAAATTGCCAAAGGTATTTTTGTCTGCTACTTTCTGAGCAAATCTAAGCCAGTGCAAACTCAACAGCTAATTGCATGGCCAGAAAAATCTCTGCAGTGAGATAGGACAATCAGCTGCTAGAATGATATAGCCTCTGGTAAACGTTTACAGTTCGCTATTGAACATCCACCCATTTTGAATAGGTCAATCAACGATTTCCATGGTCCATTTTCCATAGCTATGTTAGTATATGGAAACTAACAGAAGTATATGGAAAAATCATCATATCCAACAGGTCAATCAACGAACTTTCTATGGTACATGTTCAATAGCTTGGGCCATTTTCAATAGCAAACTGTTAAATAACTATGGAAAATCACCATTTTTAATGGGTAAACCATCTATAAATGGTACATTTTCAATAGCTATCCCTGTTAGTCATTACCAGAGGGTTATCGGCCCCAGTGGGCCCCGGGGAAACGAACTCGTGGTTTCCCTAGGGGATGCGGCGGATGCACACATGGTCAGTGACTCTTGATCCAATTCTTGCCAACCTTGCACTAGACCATTTAAGGTTATTTTGGTGGATTACCCTCTTGTAAACGTTTACATAACGAACTGGGAAATCACCATGTTTAAAGGGTAAATCAACTATTTCGACTGGACCATGATCAAGTTCGCGAACTGTAAACGTTTACCAGGCCGGGTAACTGTTAACTCACCATTTTTGCAGGCTACAATCACTTTATGATTCCTTGGCTTAAAGCAACCATCCACCAGTCGGCTGACCCAAGGTTGAAACTCATTCACCATAAAATTTGCTGTTTGGTTTGCTAACCGGCTACCCTCTGGTAAACTAACAGTTTGCTATTGAACATGGCAATTTATATTGGATTTACCCACTAAAAATAGTGATTTTCCATAGCTATGTTAGTTTACAAGAGGGTAACCCATCAAGAATGACGTTCACCTTATGCCAAAGCAAGGTCTATTCGGAAACATGTCAGACATTTCAGATGCTAAGACCATCTAAACCCCCGATGTGTGACGTTTACAAACGTATTTTTGATTGTCTAAACAACATTTCAGAGTCCGTTTTTGACTGATGAATTTCAGATGTTTGATATTCCGGGAATCGAAAAATCACAAAAACAAACAACAACACATCTTGGATCAATACACAACATATGTTCGATGGTTAAAAGCCATCATATGTATTTATATATATATATAAATGTTTGATGGTTATATAAATCCACTTTGGGGACTATGATGACTACATGTGACTATGATTATATATAATTATATATATACACTTATAAATGGACCTTAAGTATATATAACCATAGTCAGCAAGTGAGATACTTGGTTCATTTATAAGCGTTGCTGGATAAATACATATAACCAAGTACCCTCCTTAGTAGCTAACATAGCTATTGAACATGGCCTATTTATTAAACATGGTGGATTTCCCAGTTCGCTATGTAAACGTGTACCAGAGGGTAACCAAGTCACAAACTGACCTACAGATTTCCCATCTTAAGTGGACCATCCTAGACCCTCTTGTACCTCTCAGGGTATTATATATATATATACCAGTAGTACCGCACAAGGCGGTGGCGGAAGTTTCAAAAATAGGAAACCTATAGGAGAGGTTGGTTGTTGTGAATCAGGGATGGCAGAGCGAAGCCACTGATGGACCGAAAGGTGCTTGAGGTCTCCTCTCTGTCTCTCTCTTTCTCTATCTACCTACCTATCTATCTTCTATGTATCTATCTATGTATCTAGCTATCTATCTCTCTCTTTCGCTCTTTCATCTAATTACCTATCTACCTATCTACCTATCTACCTATCTATCTATCTATCTATCTATCTATCTATCTATCTATCTATCTATATCTCTCTCTCTCTCTTTCATCTGTCCATCTATCTATCTATCTATCTGTCTGTCTGTCTGTCTGTCTGTCTATCTGTCTACCTGTCTATCTGTGGTGCCGTGTCATCCAGTGTATTGTATTGTAGTGTAATGTAGTGTAGTGTAGTGGAGTGTAGTGGAATGTAGTGTAGTGTAATGTAGTGTAGTGTAATTTCGTGTAGTGGAGTGTAGTTGTGTAGTCGTAGTTGTAGTTGTAGTGTAGTGGAGTGTAGTGTAGTGTGATGTAGTGAAGTGTAGTGGAAGGTAGTGTAGTGTAATGTAGTGTAGTGTCCGTTTCGTGGCGTGTCGTGGCTTGTAGTGTCGTTCTTGTCGCTTCGTGTACCTTTCGTGTCGTGGCGTGTCGTTGCTGTCGTTAGTCGTTGCTCGGGTGTGGCGCCGTAGTGTCGTGCTCCCTTCCGTGTTCGCTGGCTAGTCCCGATGTCCCTTTCTGTCGTGTCGTGGTACGTGGCGCGTCGTGTCGTGTAATGCAGTGAGTGAATTAATGTCTTGGAATGTAGTGGGTGTAAGTCGAGTTGTGTAAGTTTGTAGTTGTGTGTTGTGGGGTGTAGTGTTAGTGGGTCATGTAGTCGTATAGTGGAGTGGTTGTGTCAATGTAACGTAGCTAGTGTAGTGAAGCGAAGCGGCGAAGCGACATCCGAACCTCCAAAAGTGGCGCGAACATGTGGTGTTTTGTGCATTTTGGCTTCGAGATGTGCTTCGCGCCACAACGGCGTGCACTTTTTCAACATCCGAACCTCCAAAAGTGGCGCGAACATGTGGTGTTTTGTGCATTTTGGCTTCGAGATGTGCTTCGCGCCACAACGGCGTGCACTTTTTCAACATCCGAACCTCCAAAAGTGGCGCGAACATGTGGTGTTTTGTGCATTTTGACTTGGAAATGTGCTTCGCGCCACAACGGCGTACACTTTTTCGACATCCGAACTTCCAAAGTGGTCCGAGAATGGTGTGTTTTGCACATTTTGACTTGGAAATGTGCTTCGCGCCACAACGGCGTGCACTTTTTCGACATCTCAACTTCCAAAAGTGGTCCGAGAATGGTGTGTTTTGTACATTTTGACTTGGAAATGTGCTTCGCGCCACAACGGCGTGCACTTTTCAAAAGTGGTCCGAAGCTGGTGTGTTTTGTACATTTTGACTTGGAAATGTGCTTCGCGCCACAACGGCGTGCACTTTTTTGACATCTCAACTTCCAAAAGTGGTCCGGAGCTGGTGTGTTTTGTACATTTTGACTTGGAAATCTGCTTCGCGCCACAACGGCGTGCAACTTTTCATCTCTCATCTGGCCAGCTGGCTCCGCACCCGCCGCTTTAGCGAGCCTACTTTTCGACCCTCCGGAGCCCCAAATCATTGGAAAAACACAGTGTTTCGCGACTTTCCTACCTTTTCGCGCATCTCCATCTTCTTTCTTCTTACTCTTTCTCTTCTACTCTTCTTTCTGCTAATCTTTCTCTTCTCTCTGCCTCTTCCCTGCTCTGCTTTTCATCTGTCCATATTGTCGGAAGTTTGACTTCTAAACTTCCTTCGATTACCAAGTATGTATGGGTATGGATCAATACCTAGTATTAGCCTTTGTTTTTTAGATGCATTCGGGATGAATCAATGAACATCCATGAATCCCAACTAGTTTGATATATTTTGACATATTTAACATCCATTTACCAGCTATTTTGATAGCGAACTACAGGGCTACGCTCGGTTTTGAGTGTAACACCAGGCGACGCTCGGTGAGATCCATCAGTTTCTCGCCCAAAGTCTGTGGTTGTCGGGAGGTTAAGGGTCGACTGCGGCCGCGCCTGCGTTGGGAGATGGTTGAAAGGGAAACCGTTGAAGATGGGGATGACTTTTTTGGCCAAGTGGCTCTCTAGAGAATTTCGATATCAATTATATATATATATGTATGTATATATATATGAGATGTCAAGATGGATTGCTTTTTTTTGGAAAATTTAAACTGGACACCGCCATATTTCATGGTAAAAAGCATGGTTTCCGCTGAAATTTTCCACCAATCCAATGAGTTTGAAGAGATGGGATGGGGCCCCTGGTCGATAGCTAAGATATCCATGGGAAAACCATAAGAAAATAGTGATTTAACCAACATAAATGGAGGGTTTTCAATGGGATTTATAGCGGATTTGTAATAGCTAAGTTGTTTTATAACTACAATAACTAGGGTTTATGGCAGTTATAACTAAAGTTAGATGGGATTATAAACCAACTTATAACCACATTGTGTATATATATGGTCCCGTGTCCCGTGTTCCCACCCCCCCACATGGGATGGGGGGGGGTATGATGCCCCTGTGGTGGTGTATATACATACATACATACCTACATACCTACCTACCTACCTACCTACCTACCTACCTACATACCTACGTACATACATACATACATACCATTACATTACCTTACCTTACATTACCTTACCTTACCTTACATTACCTTACCTTACATTCCATACATACATACATACATACATACATACATACATTAATTACATACATTAATTACATACATTAATTACATACATTAATTACATACATTAATTACATACATTAATTACATACATTAATTACATACATTAATTACATTACATACATTAATTACATTACATACATTAATTACATTACATACATTAATTACATTACATACATTAATTACATTACATACATTAATTACATTACATACATTAATTACATTACATACATTACATACATTACATACATTACATACATTACATACATTACATACATTACATACATTACATACATTACATACATTACATACTTTACATACATTACATACATTACATACATTACATACATTACATACATTACATACATTACATACATTACATACATTACATACATTACATACATTCCATACATTCCATACATTACATACATTACATACATTACATACATTACATACATTACATACATTACATACATTACATACATTACATACATTACATACATTACATACATTACATACCTTACATACCTTACATACCTTACATACCTTACATACCTTACATACCTTACATACCTTACATACCTTACATACCATACATACCATACATACCATACATACCATACATACCATACATACCATACATACCATACATACCATACATACCATCCATACCATACATACCATACATACCATACATACCATACATACCATACATACCATACATACCATACATACCATACATACCATTCATACCATACATACCATACATACCATACATACCATACATACCATACATACCATACATACCATACATACCATACATACCATACATACCATACATACCATACATACCATACATACCATACATAACATACATACCATACATACCATACATACCATACATACCATACATACCATACATACCATACATACCATACATACCATACATACCATACATACCATACATACCATACATACATACATACATACATACATACATACATACATACATACATTACATACATTACATACATTACATACATTACATACATTACATACATTACAAACATACATACATACATACATACATTACATACATTACATACATTACATACATTACATACATTACATACATTACATACATTACAAACATTACAAACATTACATACATTACATACATTACATACATTACATACATTACATACATTACATACATTACATACATTACATACATTACATACATTACATACATTACATACTACCTCCTACCTACCTACCTACACTACCTCCCAACTACCAACATACCAACATACCAACATACCAACATACCACCACCACAGGCCACAGGGGGGGGGGACCAGAAGAACCATACCACCACCACAGGCCACAGGGGGGTGGGACCAAGAGGAACCATACCACCACCACAGGCCACAGGGGGTGCGGGACCAGAAGAACCATACCACCACCACAACCACCACAACCACCACAGGCCACAGGGGGTGGGGGGGACCAGAAGAACCAGACGATACTGTCCACCCATACCCATTGGTGGGGGGGGAGGCGGGGTGGCCAACGCTGCACCATATATATATATATATATATTGTATCCATATAATATCCCCTATAGCATGATTTACATGTACACCTGGATATATAATATGTTATAATTATATGTATAATCATCCGGGAGACTTCATAGAATAGGGAACATTCAGACAATCCTCGCTAAAATGGAAATATAGTTTAACATCAGGGTGGTTATATATATATATATATATCCAGGTGTACATGTAAATCATTATATGGAAAATATATGCATACTTTTTTAATTAATGACTACTTATATATAATCGTATATGTTACTATACTGCTTATATATGTATGCAAACATAAAGTTAGTAAATGGGGATATTTCTCACGAGAACCTACAAAATTTCCTGACTGAAGAGAATAATGATATATATATATATGTATATAGATACATATACACATGTATATGTATTCCCAGTCATGGCCAACGAACAAAATACAACACTAATCCACGATTTGCCCCGCAAACATTGACTTGATTTACAAAAAAAATAATGTCTCCCCACGTGAAAACCAAACTTATTTGACAGAACATTTGCCATGATATTGGTTTCTGGTGCTAAATGTTGATGTGCCAAATGGAAATCAGGATGCAGCCGATAATTAAACATTAAACATTACACATGTTTGTTGATTAATGTTTATTGTAATCATGAAACACACATATCTGGTTTTACCCCCGGCAATCAACCACATGTTTTTGCTGCGCATCCCATCTTTTGCCTGCTCATATTCAGGTTAAAAAGCACATGTGTCAACAAATTATCCTTGTACTTGTTCATTTTCGCAAAGAACTTGTGTTCCTTGTACCCATACATTACCGTCCCGTACATGTTGGCCTAGTTATTGTGTACGTATCTAACTTCTACACTTCTCGGTCCGCCCTCATAATTCCAAAGTTGGGATACGGCCACATATTCCTCCACAAGCCAAACAAGAATGACTAAAGTTACTATATCAGCCACTGCTATAATGACTGAACATCATAGTAATTCTTAACTGTCAGCCATAAAATGAACCTTGGCAGATAATTCCCATAACCATTCAGATCACACACAAACACCCCTTCTATGATTCCAAATATGTGATGTCATCCCCTACTAAACCATGGTTTGTGAAGGTGTATTCAATATGGTGGGGAACGGGATTACTATAATTCTGAAACTTGAATGTGAATTATAGTAGTCCCTTTCCCCGTTTCAATAGTAATAATGGCCATATTGAATATCCCTATAAAGGGATTACTAAATTACTATAATTCAACATGGCGGGGAATGGTATGCTTGCAATTCTTTTTGATGGTGAAACATGGCAGGTCGTTGAGTACGGGTCTTATAATTCTCCATTTGTTTCCATGATTACATCTTGATTTATACAATCTGGTGTTTGCATAAATCATGTGAAACCTCAGTTATACTTGGCATGTTAGCCTCCTTTTTGTGATGGATCTGAGTAAAATATAATAATTCACTAACCTGAAATAATGCCATTTTGGGATGATTCCCCTTATTAATCATGATTCCAGGGTTCGGTCGCAGTGAGGTCTTTACAATTTGCCCATAAATAAATAAATAAATAAATAAAGAAAGAAAGAAAGAAATAAATAAATAAATAAATATAAATATACAGTATATATATATATATTTATGTACTGTATCCATTTTACCTCCTTTCTATGATGGATACAGTTTGAAGTCCTGTCTTCGGAATACATCGCAAGAACCTTCGTTCTAAAAAGTGCTAGGTGCCGTCGCCTCACATCCTGTCGGCCCATGATCGATTCCAGCTTGGCACTCACCGCTGTCACCTGGGGATGGTGCTAGCATTTCACAGCTGGTAGATGGATACCCTCTGGAAAACCATAGGAAAACCATAGGAAAATGGTGATTTAATGAGGTCTGATGGTGGTTTAATGGAATTTAATGGGATACTTACCCTCTGGTAAACGTTTACATAACGAACTGGAAACATCCACCATTTTCAATGGGACAATTCACTAGAAAAATGGTGATGTTCCATAGTTATGTTAAATTGCCAGGGGGTAATTACCCCGCCAAATACAAAACTAAGTGACCTTGTTGCAGTCTCACGTGGAAAACCCAGCATTTCCAATAAGCAAGTCCTATAGGGCCATGGTTTCCATAGCAATTTGTTCCACGGTTCATCCCCGATTTCCATCCATTTTCTGTTGGTCAAACGCCCCAAATCCTTTATGAATCTTGGGTTTACCCAATGAGCTAGTTTACTTATATGATCTTGTATGCTGTGTATTCCTCCATTCTATGACTCCTTCATCCAAGAACCTCTCTTCCCTCTTGTTTTCCCCCCAATGAAATCTGTTGGTAATTTCCCCATTCACCATCCGGCACCAAGGTTCATACAACCCCGAAACACTCCTGACTACTATCGCAAAGATTCAATTTGCCGTTCATTTTGCAGTTGACTTTACCAACTTCCATCTTTTGAGGGTTGCTGAAGCCAACAAATCACATTCAAGGACATCCTATTGATTTTCTGCCCATATCACGTTTAAAATAATATATCAATCCGATAAAGTCCCAACCATCATTGATAATTGTTCCTTATTATTCCATGATTAATCATATGGAAGTGCATTAGTTCAAATAGTCACATGCCCTAGTATTAAATACCCCTCATACCGGACCCCAAAATAAATAGATACAGTACTAAGCCAAAAGTTCCCAGGAAGTATTTCAATTTTAGGGGGACGGGATTAGTGCTTCCCCATACACTACTGACAATAGTCGTTCCTGTGAGAATAGGCATTAGGTATTACAATAGTCCATCAAAATCCATCATTCAATATCCCACTATTATTCATACTATTCCCATTAACATCCTAGTTTATCCAATTTTTATCCCATATCATCCCATATCTTATTGGGTGTACCTCATGAGCCTAGTTCAGTAAACCATGGTATCAACCATTTTGATAATCATCAATCAATTCCATTGGAATAATCCATATATATATATTTATCTAATGGATTTGTAATTCATACATATTATTGCCAACCATCAGTAACCGTATTATCCCATTAGCTATTAGAATTGTCATCAATATGTAATCAATCATATTTCTCCAGTAAAAAACAATCCTATTGATAGTACTGTAATTTAAGATTAAAGGGATTATCATGGGCCATGGGATTGTCCATGGTTCTCCCACAACTTCAACTACTGTAATTATACCATAAGTAAGCATAGTACTCATATCATTAACTATTGTGACTGACTTGGGGATATTATCCATACCCACAAACTAAACACTTGTCCTTCCCGCCCCCGGGCCCTCGCCTTCTCCAACAACGCCTGCCCAATGGGCCCCGACGTCGTCACCGACGCCGCCGCTGTGGCCGCCGCCGCCGTGGCCGTCGCGGCCGCCGCCGCGCCGTTGAGGCTACGCCGCGGCGCGCGGGCGTCCAGGGCCAAGGCGAAACGCGAGGGCAACGTAGCGCGCATGGCAACGAAATGGGGAGAACTCTCACTTTGGGGAAAATCTATGACCCATAGGATCAGCGGATATTGAGGTACCCAATGTTCCATATTGTTTAATTAGTTAATCCGATGACGGATCCATGGTGCTGCTATATATGGTAACATGGATCCCATCAATATACCCCCTTTATGTTAGCATATATACCAGCACCATGGATCCTATGGGTGATGGAAAATCTATGGAAAATCTATATGAACATCTCTGAATTTCCGAGAATCATGGAACATCTATGAAAATCCATGATGAACATCTATGGGGATGAGAACAAATCTCTGAAAATCTATGATGAAAAGGTAGGATGAGAACTCTTGGAGCTTTCTTGGGGATTCTGTTTTTTTGGAGATGGCTTTTTTGGAAAGTCAACTTTTGGATTGCTTTCTTTTCTTGGGTAATTCTCCTGAGACCACAAGTAAAAGAACAGTATATTTCTACTAGTAGAATCACATTCAGCCAAAGCGGAAACCAAGACTAGAGGTCACCAAGGCAGTCTCTAAGAAATGGTATCGTTTTGTGTCGTTTACCATATTGGTTTGCTATGGTTTGGGATACATAGCTCACACATCCTCTGAACTCAAAGCTTCCACAGGAACCTGGTTGGTCTTTTCTCATTTGGTGATTCTCCAAGTCCAAGTAGCTTGAGGATTCGGAATGGAACTTCAATCATTACTTTGAGGTTTAGATACCTGGAGTGAGCGGCACTCCCTATGTGTGGTTCATGAATGAGGTGGTTCTGCCGGTTTAGTCAATGCCTTGCTGGTTGGTGGGATCAAGCTGCTGCGAAGTTCTTGATTGACATAAAGTTGTAGGATTAATTCTGTCTTTGAGCTTTGACTTGCAGACCCAAAGCCACAGTCTGTGTATGTGGGCATCTGTGCTGAAACTCGGGATACCCCCAATTCATGGCAATTCAACCAGAGAAAACATGGGGCATACTGCGGCATATTCCATCTGTAAGACACACCCGTGTGATCCGACAAACGCTTCGAAGCTTCTGCAGCTGCAGCTTTTGGTCAATGATCAGGGGAGATCAGCGGGCAACAAAAATCGAACAGGAATACTGATAGGAAAGAAACAATATGTGTAACTCTTTTAGTGTTTTCTTTAGTTTTTTTTTTAATATGTGTGTATCTGTTTGGAGGTTGCTACACATGAAAATTAGTGAATGATCATGCTTCCAGGCTGCAATGGTAAAGCACGTCTGCATTAACCCAACATCATGAGGGTGGGCATCATTGCGACATCATATTTTCAATGGGAGATCTTCAGGATCCTAAAATGGAGGTGCCGATTCCATATATGTTTGGCCTATTTTTCAGGCCTTAATTTCAGGGAATATCACCACAAGATATGGCCTTATATGGTACTAATGTACCTCCATCTGTTGGATCCTGGAATTCACATTGAATCCATTCAATCCCATTTATCATTGGGTACAAACCACATGTGGACATGTGGACAACCTAATGCCATAAACAACTACCTAATGCCATATGTTATTTTAGTGATCTGAAAAATAATGGACATTGTGGTCTAGTTAAATATGATGGGCAGATGATTTCACCAAAACGATTACCCTCCAGTAATCTTAAACATAGCAATTGGAAGTCCCCCCAATAGGGGATCTCCCATTAGAAATAGCCGGGGATTTCCCAAGATGGGGATTTCCCAACTAATCCCCCCATGATAATCCCCTATTAAAGGATTTTCCAATTGCTATGTTTGATTCATCGGGGGATTTCCAATAATTTCCAGTAATTGCCTTGTTGGAAAATCTATTTTTTCCAATAGGGGGATTTCCCATGGCGCCACGTCGTGCCAAGAACATTTTGAATCATCCCATGGAGAAATCCCGCTTCCATCAATTCATCCAATCTGCTTGGTTCAATGGATTGGTTTAAGGGAAAATCTACACCGGAAATCCTGGATTTTCCAATGATATACGAAAATTTCCTGTAAATGTTTCCTTAAACCAATCCATTGATGGGTGGTTTCAATCCCTCTGAAAAATGATGGAGTTCGTCAGTTGGGATGATGACATTCCCAACTGAATGGACAAATAAAAATCATGTTCCAAACCACCAACCAGATATGTTCCCAATATGGAGGTTTCCGTTTTGTCATGGGGGTACCCCCAGTTCTCATCCATTTTAGATTGGGATTTTCCCGCACAATAACCATCCAGCTATAAGGGTATCCACATTTATGGAACCATCCATTTCAAGAATGTTACCCTCTGGTAAACGTTTACATAGCGAATTGGAAATTTAGAATGGTTTGTTGGTTTACCACATAGCGAACTGGAAAATGTGTTTTTTTTTTCCTTGGTTTAGCTATATAACATGGTGATGTTTCGCTATGTGGCAGTGTGTCAAAACCTTGTACCCCTGTAGTTCACATCAAAATAGCTGGGATTTATGGATGTTCATCCTTCTAAAAATGGTATTTTTATAGGTATTGATCCATACCCATATAATAGGAATTCTACTATCATATAATAGGAATTCTACCCATATAATTTTTCGTTGGTTTAGGTATATATATATACCATGGTGATGTTTCGCTATGTCAATTCTTTATAGTATCCCCAAGCCAGCCAGCCCAAAACGAGCGAGCAACAGCGTTGGGATCAACGTGATCCCGGACATTGGACCTGCCGCTGGGAAGACATACCCAATGTGGTGTCCCTCATAAATGGAGGTTTCGTTCGCTGGGAAAATCCACTATAAATGGGCCATCTATACCATGGCTATGTTAAATAACCAGAGGGTACCACTACAATGTGGTGTCCCATAGTTATGGCCATTTATTAGTTATAACTGGTAAAAAAAGTGGGATTATACATTCTATAAATGGGGTTTTGTTAGTACTTATAACTGGTAAAGGGATGCTTACCATCTGGTTATTTAACATGACCATGGAAAGTGGCCCATTTATAGATGGTTTACCTTGGTTTATCTATTAAAACTGGTGATTTTCCATAGCTATGTTAGTTTACCAGAGGGTACCACTACAAGGTGGTGCCCCATAGTTAGCTAAGTTCGTTTTATAACTCCAATAAGTACATGGTTTATGGTAGATATATTGACATACTTACTATGGTTTATAAACCAACTTATAACTGAGGGGGGCACCACCTTGTACCTAGTGAATAGACTGGGAATGGTGAATGGTGAATGGTTGGCTTGGTATTCACTATGACTTTTTAAACCACTCACTATTCACTCATATTCACTACATTGAGTTGCGTTCTTTTGTTTTATCACTATTCGATAGTGAATCTCGCACTCTATATTATCACAATATTTTTATATACTCACTATTTGCTAGGGATGATGGGTAAAAACTGTTAAAATGTCTTATACACGTTCCTAAATCAACGAAAGATGGTGACTTAACCTAATTTACCATCCGGTAATCAAACGCATCAATAGAAAATCCACTATAAATGGAGGTTTCAATCGGAACATGATTTGTAAGTGAAGGATTTTCGAGAAAACCATGCTTGATTACCGGAGGGTATACTGAAAACGTCAAATTCCCTGTAATATCACTGGGAACTCTACTCTAGATACTAATAATATCCTGATAATATCCTGATAGGTTCCTGGTTGGTGGTTTCAACCATCTTGAAACATATGAAAGTCAATGGGGAGGACTATCCCATGTATTATGAATAATAAAATTCATGTTTGAAACCACCAACCAGGTACTGTATAGGTTTATTTAGCAAAATATGGAAACCAACGACACTGTTGATAACAATTTTCCTCAAATTTACTCGTCATCAAGGGGCATGCCGTACATGTTTTGGACGAGCCCATGCCACCATGCCACTGTTCTTCAGTGGCATGGGATATCCCACAACCACTGGAGTTTTGGGGGGTATCACAAACTTTAATAGGTGGATAATAAGTGCAAATCCAAAAAAGACAGGTGGATAATAAGTGCAATATGGATAATAAAAATATCAAATAATAGGTGACTTATTGATTAGTAGACAGGTGGATAACAAGTGCAAATATGGAGAATGGTTCTATGGTCAAGAATACTAAAATTGGATGTTATGGGGTATTGTACATCACCGCACATTGGGCTACCGATAAAACTGGGTAGACATTGATTTACATAATTAGTCAGGTGGCAAGCCCACTGCCATCCCCCAATTCGAGTTTATTGTGTGGCATATCATGGCATACCAGTATTTAGGATAGTTTATGAGAACCCCACATGTTTTGTTCTTGGGTCTTGGGTCTGGTGAAAATTTCTGGATTTACCACATTGCAGCATTGCTAACTGGTTGAAGAATGGGGTGTCTGACAAACAGCAGGAGCTCGAATTCTCTATCAACAAAACATCGGGATACCCTATGGTAATTAGAGATAGATAAGGAGAGTCACCATTTTGAAAGGTCAATCATCGAACTATTTATTCTGGCTGGTGGTTTTAACCATCTTGAAACATATGAGTTCGTCAATGGGAATGATTATTCCATATATGAAATCGACAATAAAACATGTTCCAAACCACCAACCAGTATTTGATGATTTGGGGGGTACTCCCATGACTTAGGAAATCTCCAAATGGGCCATGTCAAAGCTATATCAACCTGTCAGTCACCGGAGGCAAAACCCGATACTCAATATCTACCCTCCAGGATCAGCCAAAGAGGTGGTCCAAAACAGACTACCCTGGCGTAAACTAACACAGATCTGGAAAACACATGGGGAAACCCTATGAAAATGACTACATGGTGGGTTTTCCAGATTAAAATATGTTAGTTTTCAATGTTTACAAGAGGGCACTGTATATTCATTTGCATTTGCACCACTAAACCAGAAGCACCCACAAGTAAAACCTCTGTCTGTGTGTGAACCTGGTGTACATAGCTATACAGGAGCACTTGGAACATATGAGCCATGGACAAAGTGTACATCGTGCACTGACCGACTGGCAAACCCAAACA